CGTGTGGAAGCATACTCTCTGTTTACCGGTCCATTGTGCACAGTACGACATTGCATTCCCCACTTTGACCGCTTTTTTCTCCTTTTCTCTCCTCTCTCTCTCTCTCTCTCTCTCTTTCTCTCTCTCTTTCTCTCTCTCTCTCTTTCTCTCTCTTTCTCTTTCTCTCTCTCTTTCTTTCTCTCTCTCTCTCTCTCTCTCTCTCTCTCTCTCTTTCTCTCTCTCTCTCTCTCCTCTCCGAGTCGTATGCGCGCGCGCACCGGTGATCTCTGATTTTCACGAAAAGCCTGACGAATCGTTGCTCTCATCAGCTAATGCACGTAGAAAGACTTTGCCGAGTTTGTTCTTTCTTTATTTCTCTCGCTCTTACTACCTTTCTCTTCTCTCTTTTTCTTTACTCTTCCCGTTTCCTCTACGTTTACTGCAGTAACAAAAAAGAAAACAAAAAGAAAGAAAGAAAGAAAAGAAACACAGGGATTGTTTTTACAAATCGTTATGTTTTCCAACACCTTTGAAACATCAATTTTATGTTTTACTCGACAACCAACATCGTATTTTTTACATGATTATTTACTATCTAGACCAGTAATGATTTCGTGATTTACTCAGCAACAATAACAGGAATTACGTCGGCAAAAATATGTATATCGTAAAAATATTATCGTTGCAAACGTTTTTATTAATCTTTCTCCATAATCTTGGTTTTTCCTTTTATGCCTTTACGTACGTTACGTAAGTATATAAGTACATTGACGTTTCATTTTCTCTGTTATAATAATCATAATTCGTAATTTTAAAACTTGAAAGTTGTCAACAGTTCACTCAATTGTGAAGGATTGTTCCTCCGAATAGAGTGCGGATTTAGATATGTATATTTATCCGTGGGAAAAGTTTCGAGGAAGAAGAGAATTCATGTTTCCTCTTTGAAAGTTCCGCTTGTTGAACGAAATCTACATTCTCGTAATAATGACGACATTCTACATTGGATACAGTCTTTACTGAACTCCTAAGTTCACCTACGTTCATTATACGTATAAACTTTGTACTTGTTCGTGTTGTCATTCTTTTTATTATATTTTCCACCGTTATAGCCATTCTTTGTTATTTTTTAAGCTGACAATTTCGTTCTAATAACTAAAAATATATAATGTGCAATAAATTATTAATTTACTTTTTTATTTACTATTGGTAGTAAAAAGTTAAAAAAAAAAAAAAAAGAAAAGGAAAGGAAAGAAAAAATCATTGAATATCTTGGAAAAAATAATAAATATTTGAGTATCTAATCACGACGAGTCATTTTATTGACATTAACGTATTTATTTCAAATGAAAATTACAGAAAATTTGGCTTCTATCTTCTAGTTCTCTTTCATGAGCAACGTTCAAAAGACAAGGACGTAAAGAGTAGAAAAGTAATGCACTCTCTCGGAATCGGTTTTCACCGGTGAGAAGTATCAGCATCGATTTTCCCCATTTCTATTCACCCCTCTCCCTCTCTCTCTCTTTTTCTTTCTTCTCTCTTTCTCCTTCTCTCTCTTTCTCTTTTTCTTTCTTCTCTCTCTTCTTTCTCGGTATTCCGCGAACTTTTCACTTTTCGGAGAATTTCCGCTTTCACCTAAACTTCGAATTCTTCGTAGTTTTCGGTGGTTATAAGGGTATACGTACCACCCTTAGCTTTCTGCAGTTTATCTCGCTCGAGTCTCGAATCGTCCAATTGACATTTCAAACGATTACAAAGTTCCTCGTGTGACGTTCTCTGCCGAAAATGCAATGTAGAACGCGCGATCTGTAATTGAACTTGCTCCTTTTATTCATTCTACTTCTTATTGCTTTTCTTAAAAATTCAAGAAAGTATAAATGATTATCTTGTTCTTATTCCATTGGAATAAGACACTTGGATACTATTATCTAAATAATTTTGAAAATACTTTTAATCGATGTCTATCGATACTACATAAACAAAATATCATACACGATTTTTGAATAAAACATTCTTATAGAAATTTATATTTCTCTTAAAAAAAAAAGAGTTTCGATATAATATAATATAATATAATATAATATAATATAATATAATATAATATAATAATAATAATAATAATAATAATAATAATAATTATAATAAAAATAATAATGTAACATATTATATAATACTGTTACTTAATATAATATGAGGATATCCTTGGATATAATTCCCCGTTCTCATTTCTTTTAATTTCCTCAGTTATCGATTGAGAGATCGGCTCTTCCAATCGAATTTCTGATTTAGTTTCTAGTGATTCTACTGATTTCATGCCGTAGATATCCACTTCCTCTTCTACAAGCTCATCTTTCTTCGTCACTTTCGCTTTGTCGTCATCTATCTCATTTTTCATTCTTCTCATAGATGATGGCATACTCCGAGACCTGTAGAAAGGACTTCTTCTAATGGCTAAATTATCCCACCATGCTTCGAGGTATTTTGTAGCATCTTTGACATTCTCCATAAGGACATTGGGTGGTGCATCTTTGTCCAATAAAATTCTTCTCTTTTCCAGTGCCGTATGTTCTGGTATACTTTTGTTTAGCTCCGATATTTTCTTTTGCCAGAGTTGCCAGTCTATAAGTGACGTCTTTCGTTCGTACGAGAACCTCTTCGTGAAAGGTGTCAATTCCTTTTTGCTCAACTCTTTTTCTTTCTTGAATACTTTACTTTCTTTTCCTGCCTTAACGATGTCTGAAAAGAGTACGATTACATCATTAAATATTCTCTCTCTCTTTCTCTCCCTCTCTTATTCTCTCTTTTCCTTTCTATAAACTTTCCTTACCGTCCTTTTAAGAATAAATTTTTTTATTATGGTAATTGTAAAGATATGTAAACTTGGATTAAATCATTTACTTTACTATGAAAACTAATCCAATGTTGTAATTTATCTTCAAAATGAAGAATTGTGTTGTTCTTCGAATAAATAAAATGGAATTACTTTCTTATCTTTGGTTTACGTCTATGAATAAAACAAACTATGGTGTTAATTAATCAATTTTGAATAAATTTTTAATCAACTGTTTAGCATTTTATGTGCAATTAATAGTGATGATAGTAGTTGTAATAATAATAATAAAAATAATAATAATAGTAATCATCATCATCATCATCATCATCATCATCACCATCATCATCATAACACCGAACTGTATTAAGCTATTACCAAGTGGTGTCAATTACAACTATTAAATTGATTTATATCTGGAACTGACGTCCATTAATGCTAGATCTACCTTCGGATATTGCAAGTTATAAATAGATTCAATCGATCATATTAATATTCATTTACTTAGTATTAATTTAGATTGTAAAATACTTCTGAATACTTGTAGTGGGAATGTTTACATACGTGCATATATGCAATATGCAATTCGAATATAGCAGAACATGGTTTACTCTCATTTCTCATTTTCGTGATTTCTGTATAACTTATGTTTACGATGAATGTTCTCTAACTACCATATAGCTACTCCTAGTATTAGAACTTCTCTGCAGTTATAATATTACTTGTACAACTAAAGTTTAGGCGCATATATATTGTTCTTATTTACATGTACGTAATTCTTTTATATATTAAAAATTCTATTAAATTATTATAACGTAAGCTACGAGAATCAAAATAATATTTTATCACATTTTTGATGATCGTTTGCCACAGATACAGAGAAATATTAATTTAAATTGAAACGTCTGGATGATTTTATTAAACAATAGAGTTAAAAATATTCATGACTATGAATGATTCAACCAATCGTGACCACTTTCCATACGTTCATCTAATATTTATAAAGAAAAGCAACGAAATCGGTTTTGGTGAAAAAAGTTGAAGCAAAGGTGTGCGCACGCGCACCAACATCCAATCCTCCGACACCGCAAGCTTTGTACTAACCGCAGTTACTATGGTGTTCTTAATTAAACTTTGATCGTAGAAAACCCTATCGACCGAGAGAGTCCATTGCTTGTAAAAGTCGTCGATAATGTTGAAGATAGTGCTTAAGGGAAAGTGCAAGATAATGTTTCGCGCTTACTCGTCGGATGGTTCGTTAAATCGCTTTACGTTTTAATTATATTATAGGAAACGAAGAAAATGTATTAAAATGAAAATTGCATATGTTGAATAAACTGACGTATATTTAAATGGAAATATTTTAAATGCATAGAAAATATAAGGTCTAAAAAAAAAAAAAAAAAAAAAAGAATAAGAAAAGAAAAGAAAAAGAAAGAAAAGAAAATAATTATTACGTATAATTATCATTAAATTTAAAAAATCACATAACACAAATCGTTAATTATTATCAACTGAATTGCTATTGAAACTGAATTATAATTATTTAAATTTCAATCAATCAAATGAAACTGAACTTTTAAGTTGCAATCTATCATCTAAGTTCTATATACACACACACACACACACACACACACACACACACACACATATATATATATATATATATATATATATACATATCTGTTCGTTCGTGCGAATAGCATAGTCTACTATCATCGAATCGGCTGCGCATTCGAGCGCTATCATCGACTTGGCTGTCTTGAGTGGCATAACTGCGTAGCGAGAACTCGATTATAGGTCAGCGGTTTGTCGCTTTTATTAACTCTGACTAACGTTCACGCCCCAAATCTCACTGTTCGGCATTATCCTCCTTGGCAATTCAATTACCTCATTAGCCTGAATTAATGGCGCTTACTAACGAAAATAGGTCAGAAGTGTTGAATATTTTGCCTTGTAAATATTCTTTTTCACGCGAATCTACGCTCGAAATTGTAACATTTACAAATAATAATCTCTTTTTTCTTTTTTTTTTTTTTTCGATGAAGAGAGGAGAGCAGGATAAAAACGAATTTACAAAAAAATCAATTTCTTTCATTACTCATCGTTATTCCTATCACAATTTATAAAATGAAATCAATAAATTAGTCCGAACAATCGCAATTATTGTGCAAGAACTAGTATTGTTCTTTCATCGAAATTGTGTCTATAGAATCTATAGAATTCGCTGTTTGATCTCTATCGACCGAATTCCATAATTAGATCGATCGAAGATAAATTAGCGGGATTAGTCATATTAGCTAGAAATGTGGACTGGTTCTACAATCTCTCGTCCAATATATGTTTCCCATAATCTTTATAATATATGTGTATATACTTATCTAATGGAGCATCGTTATTAATTATATATAAAATACAAATATTGTATTAAATATTTTTTTAAATGTCGTTCAATATATTCGTTGAGATATTTAATTATTTTGAAAATAATCAAACATTTCGAAGGGAATCTCGATTATTTCCGATTGTAGTTATAACAATGCAATAACAACGACGAATTCGATTAGAGTTATATTATTATTTGCGTTACCTGCACAACAGACTTCTGGTTCACAAATATCCATGGCACAAATCTTCAGTGGTATCTCGCTAAGAGCTCGTTTCTTTCTAGCTTTTCTTTTAACTAATTCCTCAGATTCGACACTTTCCACCTCGAGTTTCGTGACAATTTTCTCGGATGGAACGGAGATTTCGACCTTAATCGATGATTTCCATGGCGTCTTCAAATCTAAACTTGTTTGCTTCGATTTTTTCCTCGATGTTTCTTTCAACAATTCAACTGGTTCCTGGTTCTTAATTACTTTTGCTTCGTGTTCCGTCTGTTCGGCCTTCAGATAAATGTTGTATATTCTTTCTATCTCTCTACTATCTTCCGAATCATAAGCTTCTTTCTCCTGAAATAACGGAATACATGCGAGAATCGAAATTTTAATTGATATATGAAAGTTTCATATATCGAAGATAACTTTCTCATCTTTCATTATTTCTTTTCATTTGTATTTCATTTTAATGCAATATGAAACTTTGAAAATGAAATGAATTGGATCGTGTAATTTCAATTCGTTGTTACGTGAACTCTCCTTAAGATGAAATAAAGTTTTCGAAAAAAGCTTAGTAAAAGTTAAATGGGACACTGAATCAGGTTGTTCAAATACCGCTTTCAATTTAAGAAAATATTGTTTCTCCGCTTCAATTATTTCTTCATCATCGGCAAACGGACTGCCTCCATGATAAATAATTTTTTTTGCTTTCGACTTTCTGACATCTTTCGACTTCGTCCTTTCTTTGCCTTTATACTTATATTTTAAAGATCTACCTTCCACCGAAGATATTTGTGAAGATATATGAGTAAACAGCATTGCCATCTCTTTTTTTCGAGCTTCCACTCCTTTTTCGTATTGACTACATCTATCTAGATACTATGAACAGAAAAAAGGTAAGAATAATTTAAATGTCAGATATTGTATGGAAAAGTTTCAGAATCAGTAAATTTCGTTCCTTTAGAAGATATTCAAAAATTTTAAAATGTTCTATATAATATGTACACAACATGCAAACATCGTTACGTTGGTTAGGATTTCCTTTGACTGTTGAGTGAAGTTAGTTTTTATCTAATTTTCTCTTTCATTCCTTATATTTGAGCTGAATTGAACTCAGGACTTCGAAAAAGTTATTTGAAGTTGCCGCTCGCAACAACAAAAATCAAATGAAAAGAATATTTCGATTGAATTACTGATTCAATTAATAAATCTAAGATACTCATAGCGTTCATTTTTTAAGAAATAACAAACAATTAAGTAAAATTAAGAACTTCTTTAAAGATATATGAAAACGAGAAACAAGTAAAAACTTACCGAAAGGAAGAAATATTTGTCATTGGGAAATGTGGTAGTAAATAAGCCTCCGCATATGACGAAATAAACATTGCCATTGGTGGAACCGATGGCCAAAATTTTACCATCGTTATGAGGTTTGATAGTTGTTAAAGATTTTTCACAGATTTGAATTCTATAGCACGTTGTATTTATTCCTTGAAAAAGATCATATGCATCCAACGTACCTTCCGTATTTATCGTAAAGAATAGAGACAATCTGGATCTGCTCCAACATCCTCCCGTTAGACAGCCTAATTTTTTCCTATAAAAAAACAATCAATATGTCCATTTGTAAATAAGAAATGCGATCTTTAAATTATCGTTGAAGTACTCTCGAAAGTACTCTCGAAAAATAAACCTAGCAAAAGTCTTGAAAATATTTAAAGACCTTTCAAAACTAATAAATAATCATTCTATAAGTCTGTTTAATTATTCTCAGCAAAATGAACGTGCTAAACTTTTAAACTGTTTTTACAAAGGAAAGTTTAAATGTACGATGGAAAGATGTATAAACTGAAGTACGAGTAACTGTGTACTTATATATATAAGAAACCATTTATTAATCTGACAATATCAATTTTTAAAACTATGTTAATTAAATATGTTTTACTTCTTTTGACAAGTACAATAAATACAATAATTTAAACTTTCAGAACACTCAATATAATTAAAAAAAAAAAGAGAAAAGAGAAAAGAAAAAGAAAATGAAGTAATAAAGTGATTGGCTCCAATCGATTATTTCAAAGTCGTCGTCAATAATAACCGTCGTCAATTAACGAAAGCATTACGAAGCAAATGAAAAATTCTATTTGAAAAAAGCTCTCCTCCGAAGAAAAATAAATTCTATTTGAAAAGGATCATTACCTTCCTGTCTGGACCAGGCAATGGTCTCTAGTCTCCTCTGTCCAAACCTTGGCGTGATTGTTACCGACAGTCAAAAAGTTCTTCAAACTACTAGGATTCCGATCGATGGTCAATACCGATCCAAGATGACAATAGAATCTCGTATAGAGTTTCTCGGTATTTGACATAGCTCTCCTATTGACGCTTACGATGGTCCCGTTCTCAAGTCCAGCGAAAAATTTACTACCCATGGTAGATTCGTATTGAAGCACGGAGATAGGGATAGATTCATTTATGCTCTGTCTCTCGGGATATTCCAAGTCCATCACTAGAACCTCCGTTGGTCTTCTCAACTTCCTGATGTCCCACCACTTGATTGTGCCGCTGTTAGACGACGAAAAGAACTCGGTATTGGTCTTGGAATGGATCCAGTACGCCTGGCTTACTGGATTTCTTTGGTTGGATGAAACAAACAAAAAAATGGTGATTATATCTGACTTCGAATTACTTTCAACTTATCCAAACGTCATTTAGAGGCAAAAATTTTTTTAATTGTGTTATAATATCGCTATCAAAATCCTAATAAGTTAATTATTCCTCATTCAAGATTCTTTTATCTTTGTGATAAAAAAAATATTTCCTTTCTTTTTGTTTTCTTTCTTGCTTTTATCCTTCAACGAATTCCTTTTTTGACACATTCTTATCGAAACACTATGTATAATCCTCAATCACGTAAATGGCTCGAATATCAGGTGAACGAACATCTACTAAAATGAGATATAATCCCACCACACCTGTGACTGTTCAAAGGTTCCGATATTTGTACCGGCGAATCACCGGTTCTTGTGTCCCAGCTGCACACTTGACCGGACATCAAGCCACTTATCAGCAACGACGGGTCACGTTGATTAAACTCGATAGCCATAGACGCCGAAACTGACTTTAGGATCAGTGACGGTTTGTTCGGTATTTCTATAATGTTAGAGAGAGAATTAAATATCTGTTCTATGTATTATATATAGTTTTCGAATAAGTCAATATCGATATTGTTGCACTCGTCAAGATAATTATATTGCCATTTTCTCGTGTATAAAAATTATTTCTTTTTTTTTTTCGTTCCTATCGTCTTTATTATAAATTAAATTATATATATAATCGAAGTTTAAAGATAAAACATAAAAATTACTTTATGCATTGAAATTAAAAATAAAAATTATATACCAACATTCCAAATGTAAGCGTTTGAGCTCAAATTTGTTGGTAACTCGATTCGATCTTTGAAGCAATATGCAACAGCAAATTGATGTGTGTCCATTGACCAACACAAATGGTTAACAGGTCTCACGTTTAATTCTTGATCGGAATACACGCATTCGATTCTAAAAAAAAAATAGAAGTTTTCTAAAAGATTTAAATATTTCTCTCAATCCATTCTTATCTTGACACTATCTATATATCACAGGAAACGTATGATTTTCCAATAGTGACCATCATAAATCGTATGCAAAGGATGCCTTTACACGAACGTTCTCGTCACCATCGTAGTAATCTCGTACTACGTATTGGCATTCTCGGATTTACTATCCTAGTATTTCCTCTCGTCGAATCGCAATTCGTACGGGTTTGTATTGTGTGTGCTTGTATGCGATAAAATGGCTTACTAAATTTTATGGTGGTATCACCGCATTATTTGTCTTGTGTAGAAGCAATAAGAGTAACGATATGTTCTAGATTATTTTTGTCATAATGATTATTTCAACTTCTTTATAATGTTGATTAAATTTAGATCGGATCGTTATGAACATAGAAACTTGAAAAAGTAAACAAAAATAAAAAAAAAATATATATATATACGTATGTATAATTCAATTATTTAAAAATGATATCTTAGATTATACCTCATCTCAGGAGAAATCGTTAATTTCGTGGGTATCATGTCACTGAAATAATTATCGTGAATATCGATAGCATTATTTTGCATCACCATATGTTCCATTGTCTAAGAAAATAATAAATTATAATGATTCCAATGAATTTTTACAGTGGAAAAAGAAAACTATTTTGCTTACTTCCATAAGTGGATTCATAGAAGCAGTCCAATTGTCACTTTTGACGACTCTTTGACGAAATCTACGAACTGCTTCTTCGTCTAATGGATTTATTTCTTTTGGCCAACTACCCTCGAAATGGCGTATTCCCGAATTTTTTATTTTTCCTGACGTAGTCTGAATCTGCTCATACAAATGAATAAAATAGTATTAAAAATATGAGTATAGAAATATAATTCTTAAGATAAGTCTGATCTAACCTCGTGGAGTGCGTATTGTACTGATTCTTGAGTACTACTATGATTTATTTGTTGACTAATAAAGCTTTTGTGAAGACGCGGTTCTGGAAGAATATCTTCTTCGACAGTTGGCCCAATATCCTCGAAAAAACATTGCTTGCCAAATTGATTTCTTTTTTTAATGTAAACGTATTTAGAATCCATTATTCTCCAAGAGAACTTTTCAATGCACTTTAAAAAACAAAGTAGATATAAAAAGGAATCAACAAAGATAAGAATGAAAGTAATGATAAAAATTCATCGATTATAAAAAAGAATCGGATGATATCGCGTTGTGTTTCGTCGAATTGTCGAAAGTTCTTCGAACAACTGCTATTCTCTATTCGATCCATATCTATATTCGGTTTGAATGCAAGCAAAACTTTTTTCTTTTTTTATTGTTGGAAGATTTGAAATAATGAAAGATCGCAAAAAACTGGATCCCAATTCATTCTGGCATTGCATCCTCGAAATTCTACGCATAAGTTTCGGCTCGCGATATCGATAGTGAGCGTAGTCCTTGTCGATATAGGATTACGATCCCTCGAATAGCATTAAATTTACCAATCAATGCGCCTGCACAAGGCCACAAATCGCGTAAGCTACGATGGTGCATGGTTTCTACTAATGAATAGGAGTTGCCGTACAGTCCCTATTGGCATCATTCTAACCGATATTGATCGATCAAGGACAGATATCGAGAAGTACCACACGAAATTCGAAATTTCTCAACGAAAGCAATTAGCAGAAACTCTCATTATCATCATTCACCTATGAATCAAACAAAATTTATTGATCACGAATGAGCTTTTGATCGGCTATTGAGCAGACCCACTATGTTTGAAGCAATTCTATAAACGGCTGAAGATCTCTCTCTCTTTCTCTCTCTCTCTCTCTCTCTCTCTCTCTCTCTCTCTGTCTTTCTAATATCGTTGCGTGTTTCGTTTCCTCGAACTAGCATTCAAAGATTCACTTTCGAGAGAAGCTCTTCAAAAGCTTAAATCTCAGCTATTCGCTAATTGGCCAAAAGCTTCTCTTTAGATATGATATATATCTATAGGCTCGACGACGTGCCATTACTCATCGATCAATTAGCTGATATTCCAAGTAACACGATATCTCCGTGAATGCTGAAACTATGATATCAAGTTACCTGTCCCCTTGCCTCAACTCGATAATTTCTCGACGTATGTTACGCTGCTACGTATCCTAATTGTACAATATGATAATACTAATAAATAAAGGAAAGAAATAAAGTCATTCTAGAAGAACGATTTTATCGAAGGAAACTCATCGAAAATATCTTTGACACTCATAGATGATACTCTTTGCCAATTGAAAGAGCGTTCGAAATTCTTAACTGATGTGATGCTTTAACTCTCACTAAAAGCATCTATTAAGAAATAATGAAGCACCATTTTCCATCATACCGATCGCACGATAAAGCAATGTACCATTTGAATTTATTCGATGAGCTCGTAAGAACGCGTTAATACTTCACATAGGATATCCGTTGAAATGAACTTCGTGTAACGAGCTTGTAACGAGGAAACGAGCCTGGAATGAAAGCATTGCGCATGATAATCATCCTAAAACTGCAGAAACAAGAAAAACAGGAGATTGTGAAATGATAAAGCTTTGAGAGAGATAACGAGAGCGTTGAGAATAGTTAAGAGAGAAAGAGGGATATGGTCCTTCAAAAATATAACGAAAAATAAGTCGACGTTAAAGTTGTCTCATCATTTTTAAAATTTTTTAAATGAGATTATCTTTGATGTATCGATACAAACGATAAAATCAATCTTAAAATTGTATAAATCTTATATTCTGATATTTGCATTATACGCTGAGAAAAAAGACAAGCTATTGAAAGAAATTTCAAGTATACTTATCTGTCTTGAACTTTGCTTCTTATGAAAGAACCGAGTAAGTCTAATTATAAAAGGCATTATCGGAGAAAAAGTATCATTTAGCTTCTCTCTCTTTCTTTTCTTTTCTTTTTCCCTTATTTTTTTTTTGTTTGTTACTCTTATTACCCTTTGTCTGCAAATTAGAAGGAATGAGAACCGTTGTTAAAGGAGATTGATTTTAATTGATCTTCGACACGACGTTCTAAAAGAAAAAATGAAACTGTAGAGAATCTATTAAAATAATATTTATAACGATCATGAAAGAGTCGACTAATTTTGCTGTATAAAACTTCATATGAATATCCCTGATATATTTTTTTTTCTTTTCTTTTTGTATAAAATATACTCTTGTCTTTAAATCAATGTTTCGTTGTTTGAGCTTAAGAATAAAGTAAGATAGAGTAGTATGGACGTAGAAAGAAAGAGGCAGATAGAGAGACAGAGAGAGAAAGAGAGAGAGAGAAGAAAAAAGAAAAAGATGGTCTTGCATGAAAAAGTACGGGCTTCCACGCGACAAATGACAAGAAGTTCTCTCATTTATCACCATCTTTCTTCCTATATTTTCATCGGTTACGTTGCATCGCTTATACGAAAGTGCATCAGAGTACATTGCTTTATGGATACATTTCCCCGTTCGTTGCATTCAAAATGATAAATCTCTTATGTTTACTAGAATCACAGCAAGAGCTTACCGCTTTCAAAACCTTCGACTAAAATGTGATTTAACATGTGTTAAAAAGTTTTCATTACATTGTTGAATGATAGATTCATCACTGTGATCGAATAACTTTTTATGTGATCGTTTCTCTAATTCGACGAAAAGAAACAGATTGATAATAAAACTTTATGTACAAAATAATTGATACTCTTGTAGAAAAAGAATTAAAATTGTTAAAAATGAAAAACGTTATTAAAATTCGAAACGTTAGTGAAACTCGAACTTTTATTTTCGTAACCAGAATGTTAACTGAAAAGAAAATTTGATAGAAGTATTTTTCTTTTTTTTTTTATTATATAAAGGACTTGTGTTTGCTTATGTATGTGCGTGTGTATATATGTGTTTGGAGGAATGATAAATAAATAAATAAATCATTTTTATCGATGTTAATACCTTAAAACATTTGATTGCAGATATTCGATGGTTGGTATCATCTCGAGCATCGATCCGTGATGAAGAGATCGATCGATCCGCACATGGAAGTACATTCCAGACTGATAAGAGATTCAAGAGTTCGTCGAGCAGAACAACAACGAGCAAAGTCGCGAAGTAAACGGGATTTATTAATCAAGCGCGGTCCGTCCAATGCAAAAGTTATTTTAAACGACGAGAGATGGCCTCAAATGTGGTACCTGGTATGTTCCTTTCATGTTATACCTAATTTTAATAATCTCGAATCGTCTGAACATTCATAGACCGTATTTCGTATCTATTTCTCTTAGTAGTTTATGAACATCTAATTCATAGTATCGTCCTGAATATTCGAGGAATTTCTAATATGACAGATGCCTGAATTCTAGGTAGATTCTTGTTTGCACCCTTCTCCCTATCTCGACCTACGAATAATTATCATTTATATGAATCGAACTTTCTTTTGATTAATTTATTAAATGATTTTTTATATTTCCATTCATTTATAGGTATTCGTTTAACATAATATTTTTTTATTTAATTTTATTAAATGTAGAAAAATAATAATCACATAATAAAAATAAATAATCAGTAACAAATATGAAAGTTTATAACTATTTACGAGTGAACGATTGATTTTCTTTCTTTCTTTTCTTTTTTCTTTTTGTTATACCAACTTTTTTTTCGATTTGAATTCTCGGAACCGATCGTTACATATTTTTTATTTTGCTTTATTCGTATTACAAGAAGAAGGGGAAGCACGTGAGTGGATTAATGAGAAGCATTCTTTAAATCTTTACTGTTCGTATATCCGAACTAGTCTTTGGATTCGTGGAAAAATAAGCGAAATGGAGCATGGACGTGCTTTGAAAGACTAAACAATGTTACCGCGTTAACGCATTTTCCTCCTTTCTTTTTCTTCGTTATCTACTATTTTTACTATCTTTTTTTTTCTCTATCCCGTTTCTTTAGAACAGGGGAAACGGTTTGGACATGAACGTGCAGAATGCCTGGGCCGAAGGAATCACCGGAAGTGGCGTCGTGGTCACGATTCTCGACGATGGCTTGGAAAAAGATCATCCTGACCTCTACAAAAATTACGTGAGTCTTGCGAATTGCTCACTGTGACTTATTTTATATTTCACGATTCCTGTTATTTCAAAAACATGAACGAAATAAAAAAAGAGAATCGCGTTCACCTTTTCTTTTTTTTCCTTCTTTCTTATAAATTATTATTTACGAAATCTTCGAAGTTGTATTTTTATTATTAAAATATCATTCTTATATGGTTAAGAAAATTTTAAATATTATTAAATTCAAATCATTAATTTTTCCTTGAAAGAAATAACATATTCAACTTATTAAATAAGATCTATCAAGAGATTAATATCAAAATTGTAGGATCCTCAGGCGAGTTATGACGTTAATAGTCACGATGAAGATCCGATGCCAAGGTATGATCTTGTGGACAGCAATCGACACGGTACCAGGTGTGCCGGAGAAGTTGCAGCGACTGCCAACAATACTGTCTGCGCAGTTGGTGTTGCCTTTGGAGCAGGTGTTGGTGGTAAGTCTTACTTCAAAGATTCATCTTCATAGTCTCCAAACTAGGAAAGCTTTTCGTTTCTCTTCCCTCTTGAATTTCAAGAAAATTCAACTTTTCTCTCTCTCTCTCTCTCTCTCTCTCTTTCTCTGGCTCTCTCGCTTCTTTCTTATGCTTGGGAAAAACTGTTCTCTTCAAATTGGATTTGCGAATTCTGAGTAATTTTATTATATACAATATACCAATGGATTTTAAGCCAGCAACATTTCAACACACTAAGCAATAATATTCAACATGCATATTTTTCAAAGCATACATTTTCATTAAACTTTCTTTCTCTCTTTCTCTTTCTCTCTCTCTCTACACACACACACGCACATACACAATACCTTTCACATTGGTATCTCAACTCGTTGTTATTCTACTTGAAACAAGAAAGAGAGGATTTGCTTTTTTTGTGATGGGTATTAAAAATACCATTTCATAGTACATACGGAATACTAAAAAATTAATAATTTTGATACTCATGTCAAATACTTTCAGCTCCAATAAACTTCTACGCCAATATTTGAAACTTCTTACTGCTTTGTTGAAACAACCGATAATGTTG